CTTTCTTTCCAGATTCATGCACATTCGAAATCGGTAAATCGTTGTTTTATCTTCTCAAATCAGATTTCGGTAAGTCAAATGATGTTTCGATTTCACGCATATTAACGGCATGCTCTTGATCAATATAATATGCACATTATCGGTGTAATATCTCCTACAGCGAATGCAAAGTTGGATCACTAAATCAAATGTCTCAAAAGTTGTAAAATGAACAAAACTAGGATACTGACACACAACATTTTCAAAGTCAAATGTAACATTTAAATAAGCTAGTCCAAGAAAAAGCCGAAGTACCCTGAGTGTACTGTAAATCCTAAATCTTATCCTTGAACAGCTTTGACCATGCCAAAAGCAGCAGCAGATGCAATGGCTCCAATTAGGTCAGTTTGTAGAGCACTCCTGATTGGCTTATTCCCAGTGAAGTGGCCTTTCGCATACCCAAAAATCAGCAATGCCATTAGAGTTAAGACTACAAAGGCAATCACTGCTTTTCTTGCAACTTGAATGAAGATGTAAGGAGCGAGTGGCACTATTCCACCCACAATATAAGCAATTGCAATAGTGAATGCACTTTGAAGTGCTCTCTTTGGATTTAGGTTCTCCAATCCCAGCTCAAACCTGCATTTGTAGACGAAGTTGTGTATGAGAGTCAACGATAGATGGGGATTTTGAAATAGTCTAGAGGTCATTCAATCGCACATTTTTAAAAGGTATGAGATGTATTTACTACGATTTAAAGGTTTGAGACGTATTTGCACTGTATTGAAAAGGTTTTGAACCTCCACGGTAAATTTTCCAAAAATAATTAAAGTAGGATTCTTAACAAATTCAATAGTCGTTAGGACGAGACAAACTAGAGAGAACAAAATGAAAAGTATGACTTTTTAATTAATTAATTATTTCCTGATGCAGCTTTGGAATTAGGCACATGATGGAAGAATGTGCACACTATTGGACTTGTTATATTATGTTAAAGGGACCATTTCCAAGCAGAAAGGGACACCTGAATTTCTGTAGAACAACATAGACATATAAAATTTTAATACCTTTTATAATTGATTAAATCCAACTAAGATTTTCATTACATTTTGAGATAGCTTCTTGTTGGAGCTCTCCCACGTTTTTTAGACAGTTTTAAATTATATTTATTGTCTGTTTGGTTCAAAAACAAAGGTGAAAGGTCAAGCTTGCTCGATATACTTGCCCACCTACACGCGAGTATGCTAGGCTTGTGTGGTATTAAACTTCGGAGAATCGTTTTTATCTAGACAATCTATTGAAATTTTTCGTGAGCTTCAAATCAGAGCTACACCCCTTGGTCACTCTCACGGTCCAACTTAAAAAATTAAATCTAGTACATATCCATTAGACATTCTTTTGGGAAGGGCAATCCTAAGTGATCGTGTGAAAAAGAAAGTGCCTTTTAAAGTAAATTTTTAAGCTTAGCTAAAAAATGATAAACTTACTTCATCATAAAATCCAGCCATGCCTGCGGATTCTTCCGTAAAGCATTCACTACAAGCGTGTATTCATGCGGCTGAATCCCATATTCTGATAGTATCTCTGCAACCTCAGCAGCTTCTGCATTTTCAACAAAAATGCCATCACTTATAATTAGACATAACACAATTACTTACACTGACCTTGTCTAGAAAATAATTCTATCCTCTGTGTTCACCAAGATTGTCATTGACAGAAATTTGGCCAACAAAGATTTTCGTTACTGATGACTGATGTCGCATTTTTTTCCCTTATCGTTCTTTCTTTCTCGGTGAAGGTTGGATGTGGCACTTCGTATCAGCAAGAAAGATTAGTGTGTTTCAACGATGGAAAAGGGCAAAAAGGATAACT